GTTTTGGGAAAGTGGTCACTTCCAGCATGGTCAAACAACCATATGTGGGTTCTACTCCTTTGCCCAGTAAGCAAATGCCCACTCATGATGGTGACCCTAACCAAGATGCAAGTGAAACAGAAGTTCGGATGTTATTATCCCATTGCTAAAATATGCTCATTACTATGTCAAGTATGCTAAATTAAATAGAACTGGTTCAGTAACACTTCTTGATTAAATCAACTAACACAGCTATTATCTGGAACAACTTCCATAGTGAACATTTTCACTGTTCCAGTTTGCCCACATTGAAACCATACATCACTGACTCACGACTGACAGATTCTTAGCAAATACAACATCTGAATAAAACATATAGAACAGAACCAATTAAATTCAACATCATCCAATAATATTAGCATATTTAGAATATATTGAGAAAAGGAATACATATGCTTATTATCGTGTTGAAAGACTGTCCAATTCATGAATTTGATACATCACAACATTTGGAAGAAAACTTAAATGACTGCCCTATTCATAAATTTTCATGAATGCAGGAGCGGTAAAATTCAATTTGCAAGAAGCTTTTGAAAATGCAGATTGTGATGTTCCACACACCATCTATTGTATTATTTTCTCATCCAAATTTCATACCATGCAATAAATAGGAGATAGAAGAATATAAGGAACATGCTTAGGCCTGCCTCTGTCATTCCCTCTCTGCCACTTCCCTTCTGTTGTACTCCTGCTAGTGTTATGCAACATATAAGAACAATCTGCAGGGTGGAAGAACAGAATTACAGACGGGAAATAAAGTTTGATGCAAATATTTTAAAACTGCAAACATTATACAATGCCAAGCTCTCTAATATTTTTTAGGGAAGAAATCACTCTTTTTCGGATGAGTGATGTGAGAGACGCATCAAACAAGGGTTTTACGTCAAATTTGGACTAAAAAGTAAGTTTTTAGATATTTATACTATTATTAAAGAGGGATCTGTGGGGATGATCCGTCGTATTTCCAGCTCTGAAATGCGTCTTCCAAAAAAAATCGTGCGCTAAAATGAGGGCCATTGAATCAGCACTCTCTTGTCTCCCATTCTCCCTTCAAGCCTTGTGTCTTCTCCAGCAGAACCATATGCTGATCTGCATATCTACCACTGCCACATACACATACTAAACATTCAGATTAAGCTCAAGTTCCACTCATCACTCTTTTCGTAAAAGACAAACGATCTGTTGTTCTAGGCTGCTTGCTATAGACAGAGGGGCACTATAAAGCTTTGTTTAGTTTAGGCACTTGCAGATAGCATGTGAATCTAGGAAGTGTCCTTACTTTACACTACACATGTTCTTTTTAGAAAAGACGCTACATTTAGCAAGATGTTAAGTAAGATGAAGATCCACGCAATGGACGGGTAGATTGCTGCACAAAAGCACCCGAGGGGCAACAATGTGTATGAACCTGAAGTCCTGAATAACTCACGAAATTTATTTTGTTACCCTCTAGCGCTTCAGCCCAAGATCAACTCAAGTTTACTGTTCGGATAGTTCAGACAACTGACAAGTTGGTCGCTCTACCGGTGCCCGGCCAACAAGAACCCTACACATTCTAAATGTCATCGCAATCATAATGCCAACACATCTGTTCATAAATTTTGCAGTTCTATGTATAATCTGGACATACCATTTGCAATGGTGCCGAAGCTTTTCTGGCAGATTTGACAATTAGCTTCACCAATCAGGTTCTTCATATAACTGAAGAGAAAAAAAGGCCAGTCACAAACTCACAATGTTGAATGGATAGATAATCATCTAGTAGCAATATCAACCAATTAACAGGACAAAAGAAACAGTAAGCAAACACTACAAAGTTGTCTTGATATATGAATAAAGTTCTGTATGTTACAGTAAATTACCATATATGAATAAGATTAGGCGTAAGTAATTGGACACTGCTATGAGATGCTAATATTAAAAACATTAACCATGATATTTACTGGGAATATGGAGTATCACGTCGCTCCTATGCTTCATCTGCTTGCTTCTCAAACAGATTGGAAGAACCAAATCACCTTCATCGGAATGGTACCCAATGGTTGAAACGACATACTCCCTCCGTTCCAAATTACTCGTCGTTGAAATGGATGTATCTAGAACTAAAATACATCTAGATACATCTATATGCGCGACAAGTAATTCGGAACGGAGGGAGTATCAGTGTACAACTTCTGCCTTCAGAGAAAAAATATCGAACACATACCTAGGGCGGCAGGGCTGGCTGGGAGGTGGGACAGATGCGCACTACGGCTAGCCAAGGCGGACACGACGGATGCTGCGCGCGGGGGGAAGGGGGGGAGGGGGGGAGATCCACTTGTGGTCTGACGGAGCTCTGCTCCATGCCATGGCGCCCTGCAGCGCGGAACGGAGAGAAGGAGATATATTAGTCAGGAGATGGAGAGAGAAGGAGTTTGAGGGCGTTGAGCGCAGCTTGCCCAACTTACCGGCAGAGGAGGTCGGCGGCGGCTTGCTGTACGGCGGGCGACGACCAAAGGACGGGTCGACTCGCGGCGATGGGGAAGGAAGCACACGGGAGGAGGGGATCAGGGGAAGGAAGGTGGGGCCGTGCAAGTTGCTGCGGATCCGTTTTTGTGGCATGATTTCGGGTGGAGTCAATCTGGAAATCTGTGAACTGCCGGCGGGATTGCGGGGATTGGGGACGCGGAGCGCTACGAGGATTGACAGACTGCCGCGTCTGGTTGGCAGAACATCTGATCTGAGACGTTGATCGCGGTGACAGACTATTGATGCATTATGAATGGTGGGATGTATTTAAGTTAATTTGATCCGAGGGTCCTGGTAAACCTGTGTACAGTTTACCGTGTGGCTTTAGGGGGATTGATGTTTGCTTTTTTAATAATAGTATAGATATAGATTTATTTTATTTCATTTCTTCTAGAAGGATGATTCCAATGCTACTAATTCATTTCATGAACACGGAATTTAAGGATCGAGTACATATATCAGTGGTGTCACATTTTCCATCTCTCACACACGCGCACGCATACTCTACACATGCACACACACGTTGCACCGACAGCCACTAACGTGCACGTACATAAAGAAAATAAACACCGTTGAATGAACTAGCTACCATCGTATCACTAGTAGTTTGGGCATAGCTTGGCGTAGCTAGCGGGTGGACAGGGTCGTTCATGGACCACCCTAGAATTCCACCATAGCTCATGCACAGTGTAGTAAAAAAATCATTTCCGTGAAAATAAACAAAATTCATGTAATATTTCTATTACGGGACCACCCTAGCACATCAGGTTGGCTACGCCACTAGCCTAGGTGCAGTGAGTACGCTCCAAGACTGACCCTTATATTATTTTCAATCGACTGGCATATAGCCACGCTCAAATCTGGAGTAACTAAATACGCACTCGGGTCATATGGTTTACACTTGAGAGTCTGTGACGCCCGGATAATTAAGCTACAGTAACTCTCTACTAATGACATCATGTCACCACGTTTACTGTTGATAAACTCGCGTTGATTCAAACCCGCTCGAAATTCAAATTTAAAATGAGTCAAACGGTAAAGGTTTTCAAACATTAAAACTAAAATCTCGATCATGTGGCAAATATTCCATTTCTAATTATGGTTGTGAACCAACAAGTTTGCAAAGTGTTTAAATGACCTAAGATAACTAAAATAGTGGCTAAAAAATTTGTTTAAATGTTTTTTAATTTATAAAATACTAAACTATTTTATTTAAACCTCACCTAAAAGTGGCAGTGGCCTAAGTTTATTAAGCTACATTAGGTACAAGTTTTATAAATTATAAAACTGTTTTGGTTTTAAAAAGTTTAGGAAAACAGAAAAGTTAAGGAAAAAAAAGCAAAAGAGTAAAAAAATACACAAAGAAGGAACCCCCCCCCCCCCGGCTCGCCCACCCGAGCCAGGCAGCCCACCTACCCCCACCGGTCGTCTTGTTCTTCTGTTCACCCGACCGAGCCGACGGATCTGGCAGCTGCCAGAGTTGCGAGGTAGGAGGAGGGAAGGGGGAGGGCCGGCGGCGAGCTGCGAGATGATGGAGGCGGACAGGTGGTGGGTGGCGGCGATGCGTTGGAGACGATGAGGAATCGGGACGAGGGTCTAGCCACGAGCCGAGGAACAAGGTATTATGGTTAGATTTTATATGGGAGTGGCTAGGCGGGCTTTAGCGGGCCTGGTAGGCTGTACCGGGCCATCAATGACAGTTGTGAAACTGTCATAAGAAATCCGTCATGGATTAACATATTTCTTGTAGTGAGTGCACGTCTCCATTCCATACCAAGCCCCTTCTCTAGTCGGGGAAAGGCCATTCTAAAACATCAGATCTCCCATTTCTGGTGAACAAAAATCAGTTTATTCACCTATAATATATGACAGGTAGCAAAAAATTGGATGCGTCAACAAGAGATTGTATGTCATTTCTGAACACCACCTCGGAGGAAAGCGTTGGAAGGATTCCTTTCAAAGCGTAAGAACCACCGAAGAGCATGGGATTGGTATTTCTTTTCTAGGAGTTTCCAGTTCTTGAGCACTAGTAACGTTTTGATCATTCTTGTTGACCCTCCATGACCATAGGTTGGTTTCATAACTAGAGCTTCTGTTCAACTCTTTACATACCTTGATGGGAAGGAAAACTCCACTTTAGATGGATTAAAGGTTTTACAATTATACCTTGCTAATGTTATCAACCGGATGAATTTAAAATTGTTCGACTCATTGTCATTAGAGAAACACGTGCCATAGGAGAATTGACTTCGGATCAGAGCAGGAATCGAAACCAAGGAAAAGCTATCTTTCATACCAACACATAGACAACTTACTAGTACCATTTTATTAATAAGTTCCAAAATATACAATCAATATATTAATGGAGTTTTTCTAATAAATTACAACCATACTGGCCCTCACGTGGCATAACAGTAACAGTTAAGCTTCCAAAGTAAGGAAAGAAATGTATGTCAGGCTAGCTCGACCTCTTCATACTCATGGAAGGAAAAGCCTAGAACAACCAGAACAATTTTGACATGACTAACGAACTCCCCGCCAGTGATTAGATGTTTGGCGTGGAATTCAGCCCCACAATTACGAGCAATGTAGCATAGCATATCCACCCATACCGTTGCAATCAGCTCCCACCGATAAGCTGCTCCTTCGGGCCTAAGCAATTCCAAGGAGACCTCACGAGCTTGGTCAAGTGCACGGGAACCATGGTAGACACCGTCATAGACTTTCTGGAGGAACGCACTCCGATCAGCAACGATAGCAGGACGAGTGCACAACAAACTATGTCGACTTTTATGAAGCACATGATACGCACAGCTATCAAGCATCACATTACGCTTGGCGACAAGATACATCATGTAATTGGACAATGCTTGGCTAAAACTTCTGAATTCGGAGGCACTGGCAGTCTTATCGGCCACTAAGCATATATCAGTCACCATGTGCCAAAGATAGACACTTGACACAAAAGCCAAACCTTGGATGTTGCTTAACTGAAGTGCCCGTTGAGCTGCACTTTCAGATTGTTGACCTGCACCAAGATAATCTTTGGTCTGGAGCGCAGCCCACCATTGAGACCATTGGCCACGGAAGCTGCTGGAGGACAATCCCCCACCACCAGGTGCATTGGTTTTTATCTCAAGCAGTTTTACAAGTAGCACCTTCTTTACCTCAGGAGATATGACGACATGTGTTGTGTAATCCCGCTTGATGCCGATACTGCCCATCATCCGTTCCAGTCGGCCAGCTTGTATCTCCTGGATGCATCCATCAAGCATGTTATACTGTTTCATCTTCCCCGACCACTCCATTCTGCTTCCTGGATGGAGACCCTTGGGTACACAATGGAAGATTTTGTCATAATCAAATGTCCGCCAATATGCAATTGGCATGTATGGCCAATATGATAACAGGGACCACATGAAGGTAGAGGATATCTCCATTGTGACAGCGCCCACAAGCAATATGTAAGATATGGTAACATCAGCTCTACTGTAGTTGACTAGTCCCTGCAATTGATGATCAACCCTGGCTTCCAAAAACAAAACGAGAGCCGTAGAGGTTAGGACAAGTGTGATGAGTCGATGTAACACACCAGTGACCCGTCCAAACTTGGTGTACAAGTAGTCATGTACCAGTGAGAGTTGAATCTCAACAATCTTGTACACTAGATCACTAGCTCCATCGTCAAACCTGTGAATCCTTTCTGCAATTGCAATCCTTAAATCCTGTAAATCAATTCCGCTAAATGGAGGATTTACGTCCATCAAAAAATCAAACTTCATAAAGAAGCCCCCGCAGGTCACATCCATCACATGTTCGAAATTTTCCTCTTTCTTCTCAGAAATTATTGATAGCAGGCCATCATAATATCTGCTCAAGCCGGAGGCAAGATGCCTCCCACCGGCATTGAAGCTGCTGCTCCTTGAGCCTGCTCTCCTGAGTGCCCTAATTCTCTCAGCATATTTAATAGTTCCAGAGATGAACATTAGTACCATGGGAGCTACAAGCTGACTGCCTCCGTGCCACTGCTTGCGGACGATGTAAATGGCCAGTGCCACCTGGATGGTGAAGTTCAGCAGGTGGCGCTTCCACAGCATGCAGTCCTCCATGGAGAAGGCGGTGATGGTGTCCTGTCCGCCAAGGTGGAGCAGCAGGAAGGGCGCCCAAAATAGCACAAGCTGGTGCTGTGGGTCACTAGTGTGGGCGGCGAGGCGTCCGAGGACGAAGACCGCGATGGAGTCTGCCGATAGGTATGACAGCCACAACAGCGCGCTCAGCACGCGGGAGCTGTGGCGCTTCCGGAACGCTGCAGAGAAGAGGAGGATGACTTGAAGGGAGAAGCTCGCTAGCACGAGCAACTGGATCTCCCACTCCTTCCAGAGTTGCTGGACATGCTCCACTGAGCTGATACGTTTTACGAAACAAAAGTTAGAAAGGACGAAAAGGAATATATATAGAGCAAACGTCAGCGCGTAAGTGTTTGAGGGCGACAAACTTTGCGTCAAGCATTGGGCTGGAAAGTGATACTACCTCCATTCAAAATATAGGACAGTTTAGTAGGATATTTAAGCCTACCAAAACGTCCTACATTTTGGAACGAAGGTAATACTATCATTTAACATTGGTTTCTAAAAGGCTAAAAGCAAAAGGCCTGGCCTGAGAACTCTGTTGTTTTATTTTTGCTTCATATATAAAACGGAGGAGATGTTCCCGTCGACTACTAAGGCGTCTGTGGCGACCTCGTTAATCTCAAGATGATGTGCCGGCTCAGTCTCTCGGACGTGCTCATAGGGGTATAGAGGGTGTATGCTCGTGTATGTGAGCGACTTCGATTATACCATGTTTTAAAAAGTTGAGCGGGGGAGACCCTTTCATTAAAAAAAAAGGGCTAGATATCGCATGGAACAAAAGTTGATCTACTCAATATATGCATATCTTACCCCACGCATGCCATTTAAAGAAGATACTACCGGAATGACATTCTATGCCGACAGCCCGCAGTCGTCGGCATAGGCACAAACCCCGTCGGAATAGGCCTATGTTGACGGCAACCGTGGGCATAGGGTCGTCGGCAACTTGTACGTCGGTGTAGCTGGGCAGGGCCATCGGCGTAGAAAAGCCGTAGGCATAGAGGCCTATGCCGACGCCCTTCATACAACCATCGGCAAACTTCTACGTATGACGGCGGCTAACGGCGCCGTCGTCATGTTCTGATCAATGAAAGGGCGACACGTGGCACAGCTATGCCGACGGCCAATCCGTCGGCATAGTTTTATATCTATGCTGACGGCCAGACCGTCGGCATAGTTCTGCCATGTGTCGACAACTGGTGCAGCCTGGCACTAAGGTATGTCGACGGCCCAGCTGCCCCCCAAGTACCCCGTTCCGTCTAACCCTAGCACAGTTGACTGGCAGATCTAGCCCTTTGACTTTCACCAGACGGGGTTTGACCGATGGACCTTTTCACCTGGTTGTGATAGGCTCCTCATGACTAACCCTGGCACCGTTGACCGGTGGATCTAGCACTTTCAAGATTCTTATTAAAAAAACATATAAAACTTGTCAAAATAGATGTAATTATCAATTTTTTGTGATTTTAATAAAGTATAGGGACCTATATACAAAAAACATGAGGTCACATTACTAACATACTCGAAAAAAATACAAACTACATATTCATAATCTATGGTAAATTCTACACCAAATCAATATATAATTTATGAATGCTTATGTCTAGATAAGTTAATGAAATTTTAATTTAGAAAGAGATAAAAACTAAAAAAACAGACAATACACAGATATGCCATTTAAGTTAATCAAATAGCTATGCCCCGGATCGATGAGGTGTGCCCAACCGACACTCCTCGGATCGATGACGTGGCACGTGCCGCGAATCGAGGACGTGGACCAAGCCTATCTATGCCGACGACCTCCATTAGTGCCGTCGGCATAGCTATGGCGGCATCAAACGCTCGTCCCCACCGGGTTGCCGGGCCCACGTTTATGCCGAGGGCCGCTGTAGGCATATGTCCCACTATGCCGATGACATAACTATGCCGACGGTCACCGTCGACATATGTGGAAGTATGCGGACGGCTTGCCCTAGGCCGTCGGCATACCTCCATATAAGCCGATGGGGTCCCTCGGCATATGACAGACCGTCGGGATTAGGCGAAATTCCGGTAGTGAGACGAATAAGCATATTATGCAATGGATTATCTCTTAATGTTAGACAATGCATAAGTGGTAGCTTTTGATCTTGTGTTCCTGTTATGTTAAACAATTTATGGAAGCACCTGATCCTATAATCTCGTAGGGGCGGGCGACTCAGCCTCCTCATACGGTCCTACCCACGACAGCACCATATGAGACGACAGGAAGTAGCTTGAGGCAACACCAACGACCTCCATCCTGTTGCCCACCTCTGTCGCCGGGCCAGGATCCGTTCTTACTCGAGCTCGCACCTAAAGCGCGCACCTCCACACCATGACGCACAGTCGATTGGTCATTGTGTGTGTCGGCGCGCAGCAGCTGCCTATCGCTGCTCTCGCCTACCAACCCATGACTCCCAATGATGTGACAGTTGTCCTTTTGATCTGGTGACCTTGGCTATGCTGGTGGCCAGGCAGTTACTCCCTCGCGAGCAGAGAGAGAGGTTGTGCAACTCGTGTCTCATTATGTGGAGGTTACACAGTTTATATACATACACGGCTCAACAGAAAAAACTCAACGCAAGGCCTGAAAACTAGCCATATACAAGGCCCACTAACACACGACTAACACACGTTCGCTAACATAAATGATACAGACCCTTGTCGGACGGCAAAACAGGTCTGGACAACGTGGTCCGGACGAATGTGGACGATTTATGGGTCGGCATTGGAGATGCCGTTACCGGCCCACATCATTCTGGGCGTCATTAATTCACATAGAGGATGCCGGGGAAATGGCCCTAGGGACGTGGTGCCTGTCGCAAGTTGGTTCACGACGGTGTGGAGTGTGCATGTCGCAAGTTGGTACACGACGGTGTGGAGTGACAGCGGTGATGTCCACGTCGTGTTATGGGCTTATGGCTGGCCTTATGACCGTGTTGACGGTCTATGGTCTCCCACCATGCATCTGCTAGCGCCGCTGTGGTCGATGTCTTGTTGGTGTGGTGGTCTTCGCGCGGATGCAGCAGTGGAGCGGGATCGCATGGTTTGGCGGCGATGTGATTTGCTGGATCAGTAGGATCTAGCGATATGCATCAGGCTTTGGTCAGATGACTCGCATCTGGAGCGATGGCTGCTAGGCGTTGTGTGGCGCGCACGACAACCAATAACATGATTTTTTTTTCACTTCTCTGATCTTTCTCCTAAATAGTATTTTTCTTTGGTAGACTATAAATTCTTATCAAGTAAGTAATCATGTGAACTGCACACAAAAATTGCTAAGATCTCCTACTCCCTCCGATCCATATTAATTGTCCCTGATTTAGTTGTTTATGCTGTTGTTACTGTAAGCAGGGGCAATTGTCCCGTTAAAGTTTAAAAATGCACCCTCTGTTCCTAATATAGTGGCAGTTCCATTTAAGTTGATGTCCCCGCAAAAAGAAAAAAGTTGATGTCATTTCTTTGCATCCCACTCACGTGTAAGCATGGAGCGTCCTGCCATAGCCATAATGTGCATACATCTGGGCTATTTAGAGAAGGATGGTTGTCTTAGGGGGCTCTTCCTCCCTCCCGCATCTCAGGGGTGGCGGGACCCCAACATGCGTGGAGGTGCGGCCGATTTAGAAGTGACGGCGTTGGCTTCGACGGCGGCGGCGGTCGGCCCTGCCTCGGGCCAAGGGCAGCTGCTGCGGCGGCTGGCCTGGATCGGGCGGCGGCGCGATGCGGTCTTCGGCGGCATGTCACCTGGTTTTAGATCGGCGGCGGCGTCGAGGGCCTGGTGGACTGCTTGGCGGCACCCATGGCAGATCTGTTCTGGCCGGTGTAGCCAGTGGTGGTGGTCATCTTCTTCGTCAGCGGTGGCCGGCCAGAAACTTGTTGATCGGATCTTGAGATCCATCATCTAGTCCCGGCCGCGAGTTGGGGAGACATGGTTGCCGGTGAAAACCGAGCCGACGGTAGGCGATGGCGGCGTTCTACGCCGTTACCTTGATGAAGGCATCGTCGTGTAACTACTGTCGACCCACTCGTGCTGCTCCGAGGGAAACCCTAGGATCTGGTGTTCCAGATCGGACGATGGCGGCACTGCGGTGTCGTTTCTCTCTTGGGAGCATCATTTGTGGAACAGCGCTGGAAGTCAGACGCAGAAGGTGGAGCGGCTTCGTCTTGCACGGAGCTTCGGTGGAGATGTCAAGTCATGCCTGAGCGACAGGTGCTACGCTTGGTCATGTCTGGTCTGCAGGTGCTACGCACGACAGATCCTCCAAGAACTTCAAGCTGTGTCGGCTGGTGATACTTGGCAGCATGACACTTAGGTGTATCAGTGGCGACCACGACGTGTTCAGCTGTTTGCGCGCAGGGAGGAGGTGCCGTTGGGTGCTGTGGTGGCGTCGACGATAGCTGGACTGAGCAAGGTTGATGCATCAATACAGTTCTGAAGATGGAGTGATGGCAGTTGGCGGCGGCGGCCTTTGAGAGCACGCCGGACCAGTGTGTGCCCCAGACCCAACAAGTGGCTAGGTTGGGGTCTCAATCTTAGATGTTAGGCTTGGTTGCGATGTCTATTTGGTATTAGGCCCAGACTATCTGCGCCGCTTCATCAACTGGATAGGTGTAGCGACAGTTTGTTGCTTAGACGGCGGCTTTAGTCTTACTATTGTATTGATTTTGCAAGGTCTTGTGAGAATAATTAATAAAGTGACCATATGCATCGCCCAGATGCAGAAACCGGGGTCATCCTCCTTTTCTAAAAAAAAGATAAGATGCTAATAACATTTACAACAGTAAATAAGTGCTCTGTGGAAACATACAGTCAAATAGGATAATCCCCCTTAAAAAAGAGAAAAAGATATTGTTTATCCTTCAACTTTTGGTGGAGTCCAAATTTAGCCCTTAAACTTTGAAACTAGATAACTCGCACCTTATAACTTTTAAAACAGGGTTTACTAGTCCTTCACCGAGTCCTTCAGGTTGTTTCCCTGCTGAGTCAACCCGGTTTTGACTCGTAAGTCTAACACAACATCCACCTCATTATCTTCATCTTACTGGAGTCGGGGATTTCATCGAACACTTCGTAGGCAGCCCGATCAGATCCGCATCCTGCCCCGGCCTGCAAATTTTTTTACGGGGTGCGACAAAATCCTGACTCTAACCCGGGAAAATGCGGGTTTCCCCCTCATGGCTGCGGTGCCCTACATATAAGCGGAAGCGGTTGGTGGGGGGGGGGGGCATTTCATCCCGCGCTTTCTCCCACCAACCACCTCTCCTCTCCCCCCTCGCGCCGCCGCCAGCTGCCGCCCAAGATTCTGGCGACAGCAGCCGGCAGGAGCACGCCGGAAGGCCGCCACGCGCACGAGGCCTCCCCTCCCTTCCCCCTGCGTCGGCGGGCCGTCGGATTTGCAGATCTGCGGCACTTCATCGGGGGCCGCCGGATTTGGCTTTTTCCGATCGCCGGTTGCTGCCCCAGGCGATGGAGTGGTCGGGGAGCCACTCCCGCAGCCCAGGCACGGGCGCATCGCCGCATGCAGGCACCGGTTCGTCCGCCTGCCGCCGCCGAAGGTTTGCGGGCATGGACTCGTTCGGCCGTCCACCGGGCTTGGCGCTCGCGCAGCGTTTTTGTCGCCGGCCGATGCCGTTCATAGAGTGCGACGACTGCCCGCGCCAAGTGTTGCGGCTCACTTCAGGCACGCCGAAGCACTCCGGATGGGTGTTCTACAAATGCGAAAACGACGGGGTACGTGCACTTGCGGTAGCTCGTTCCATAGCTCATTCTTTAGTTCAATTGTGATAGCTCACTTCAAGATTGCTCATTCTTTTGTGTAGGACGATGGATGCTCATTTTGGTTTTGGGAAGACCAATACATTAATTTGTTGATACAAAGAAACTTAATAGATGTTAGTGCACTCGTTAGTACAATCAAAGGCAATGATGCGGCTGCATGTGCAACTAGAGGGGAAGCAACGTCTACTTCTTTGGAACCAAAGATGAAGAATGAAGAAAGCAAGATCAAGAATCCGCAGATCAACAATGAGTGCATGGAGAAGATATTGCTTCAACTAGTGGGAGCAGTTATGGAAGTTGGAAATCTTCTGAAATGCATACTTGTGGTTCTTGTTTTCTTTGGTTTTGCTATTCTAGCCAAGATTTGGTGATATCTTTTGTATCTAATGTAGTTGCAAAGGCAAAGAAAAGCATTATGCTAGATCAATTTAAGTTGCAAATCTAAGTTTTACGGGCCGGGAGGAGCTGCGCCAGATCAGAACCCGCAGAAGTCGACCCGTAATAATAGTATATTCCGCGAATATACTTTTTTACGGGTCCATTATGCGGGGTCTGCATCTGTGCGAGCCCATGCTGGCCCGCAAAAGCGGTTTTGCGCAAACTACAAAGACGTTTTACGGGTCGGCGGGATGCGGGATCTGCTAGAGTTGCTCTGAGCCATGCCGCCATTGCACGTGCACCCAAATCAGCCATAGAAGCCTCCTGAGCAACGTGCCGGAGCTCGTGCTCGGGTGCTCAAGGAGGCATCGAGGTGAGGTGCACCAACCTATCAATAGAAGCCACCTTCACCTCGACACCTCGGCCTTGCCCTTGCCACAGCACGTGCGCACCAATGTGGCCCCGGACGCGAGCGTTGCGAGCTCGAGGGAAAGCACCACCGGCGGCAAAGTAACGTGTGGCTGCTTGTCGGAAGCAGCTAGACCACCGTCGAGCTCGATGCGTACCTAGGCGGCGTTGGTTTCCTGAAGGGGAGCTCCAGAACGACGCGGGCGTCAGCTTAGTTACCTGCATGGCTGGCGCGCTCGTGTCGCTCGTACTGGTGCGGCTAGCGGCGGTACGCATAGAGGTTGGCAGGCAGCAAGGAACTGCATGCGCCATGGCGAGGTGCACGGGGCTACCAGTGCTGGAGCGGCACTGTTGCATTGCACGCTGCCAGCGGTGAGAAGGCAGCGGCGGCTTCGAGTGGCCAGTAGGCAGCCCACGATGCGGCCATGGCGGCGTGTGGTAGCGAGCAGGACCATCTGATGGTAGGCACGCATGGTGTGTTTAATGAAATGCCCAAACAGAAATAGGGAGAAGGAAGAAGAGATAGGGCCAGGTTGGGGAGAGAAATACCGCCACGTGGATGAAAAACCAGTCAAAACCACAATGAGTCAGCAGTAATACCGGGTCAGCCAAGATGATGGACTAAACTTGTCCGATTTTTATTGTTATGGGTGCAAATTGTCTGGTTTTAGACTTGAAGAACTAAATCTGGACTCCACCAAGAATTGAGTAACGAAAAGTATACTTTTATCTATTAGAAAGTACGATCAAATTGAATATGATTTACGACAATATCTAGAGCGTTCTATATTAAGGATTTTAAGTCTTGAAGCTACCTGTGTTGAGTCGTGGGCGGGCAGGTTGGCACGGCGCAGACGCAGTCTCCACATTCCTTCAGCACCCTCATGTTGCTCCGACAACAACATGAAACCGCAAGCAGCGGCTGGAGCGTGGGAGAAATTAGGAAAGATGAGAGCTGCTTATGCTCGTCGTGTTTTTATAGTACCAGTACGTACCAATTCAATGCCCACACGTCCATGGCACTCTCCATTGATTCTTTGCTTGGACTGGCACAACTCCGCTTTGCTTGCAGCTGGGTCGACGGAAGATTCCGCTAGCTTAGAATAATACACATGCACGCAAACTAAAGAGCATGCCAGTGGAGGAACTGCATCAATCATATCTTACGAGGCAAGCTTTCGCTCTACTTTATACAGAATAAACCATATAGTCAAACAATGCAATGTGCAAAAAAATTCCCCTTGCAAACTGATTAGATAACAGAAAAACACAATGACCAAAGACAGCACATCACCAAGAATGCCTTGTCAAACAGCACCAACATGCCGCGGATCATAAACACGGGAGAGGCAGAACCACAATTAAATCAAACATAAGAACCGACAATCTACGAACTCGTGACTTCTATATTTTTTTTTGAACCGGGCATTACCCCTTTCCATTGCAAACAACAGAAATACAACCAGTTTCGAGAACAGAGTCAGGAGGAGGGAAAGAGGTAAGGCGAGTTCAAGCATTACCAGGAAACCCACTGCAATTCGGTCATCGTCGACCCGAACGCTGTGGGGCGAAAACCTGGTAACACATACAGTTCAAGAGCAACAAACTCCAGTACACCCAAAAGAGACAAACATGCCAACACGACAAAAGATCACAAAGCGCAAACTAAAAAGCCACTATG